AATACTTTATTTTCTATGAGTGTAGGCACACCGGTGGCGCCGTTCGGTGTCTGTCCGCGGTGCCCAGCTACGTCGTGGTATACTTGTAAGAATTGCCGAAAATTTGAAGCTACAACACAGCAGCTCTTCTTCTTCGTTTTCTCTGATGCACTAACTCTGCAGCAGCACTTCTTCTTCGTCATCTCGTCTGATGCACTCACTCACTCACCCCTCCCCACACCCCAACCATTCAAATTTCTGTAGGCGGGAATTATTTGTAATGATATTCCAATGAGCTGCTTTGTGATATCACAAAGCCCGGAAAACAAACGCTGTAATCCAAACGAGCAGTTCGTTGTAATTCTTGAAAAGGGATTTTTAAAAAACGAAATATCTCCCTTTGGAGTGGACTTTGAGATTTGTAACTTTCTAGATCTTTTTTTATGCCCAAACATACACACTACACACTGACTAAAATTAAAAAAGTGAAAAAGCATAATAGGACCCCTTTAAAATTAGCCATACAATTACTACAAATTACTAACTCTGTGTTAATGTTCAGTGTCAGATTATTGAAGTATTAAATATACCCGACTATAAAAACTAAGTTAAGAGCCAAGAGAGTGATTGGTTCTAATATCCCCCAATTACCGGTTTATAATTTATAATTAATTAATTTAATAATAATTAATAATTTTTTAATTTATAGTTTATTACATTATATATTATAAGATTAATTATATTTATAGGTTTCAAATGGTAGTTAGAAATGCAATATAAAGTCCTCTGGTCAATCAAATTTGCAAATTCCATCTGCTTTTGTTTTACCCCATTATTAGTTATTGAAGCAGAATAAAGTTGATTCTGGACTCAAAACATTACAAATACTCTACCATTCAAATGATTGGGTTCAGTAAGATTTTTTGTTTGTTTGTTTGTTTTGAAAGAACTTTATACTTTTATTCAACAAGGATGCATTCATTTGATCAAAAGTAAAGTCATTTATAATTTTAATTTCAAATAAACACTATTCTTTGGAACATTAAAAATATCATGGTTTCACCAAAAAATACTAAGCAGCACAACTGTTTTCAACATAGATAATAAAAAATGTTTTAGCAGCAAATCAGCATATTGGAATGATTTCTGAAGGATCA